TCTGTGCCGGGCGCCCAGGTGCGGTCGCCCGAGGATGCCGCGCCGGCCGGGGCGGCGCCCAGGACTTTAATGTCACCGCCGGCGGGGCGCAGAGGGCGGAGACCCCGTGGTCGCGCGGCGGGATCCTGGGCGACCCCCAGCCCTCCCCTCGCGCCCTCTGGCCTCACCCGGGTACCGGTAATGCCCACAGCCACCTTGCAGCGAGCTTTCCTCCTGTGCAGCTCTGTGCTGAGCACCCTACAAGCCGGGTCTCAATTAAGTCTCGCTGGGGACAGGCGCACAATACAAATGAGGAAACTGAGGCCCTCTGTGGTCAAGGCGCTGGCCAAGGTCGCGCAGCCAGTATGAGTCGGAGCAGCATTTGTGCCTCGTTTCTTCCGACTGGACCAGACTACCGGATAATATGGGGTGGGAGATGGAGAGGATGAGAGAGGCCAGTGTTGGGTGGGGTGGGGGGTGTTGACAGAACCACTATTTGTACCATGGCCACTTACCCGTGGCCTGCCAGTTCTAATCTCCTAAAGGAGTTCACTTCCCTCCACCCCCATTAATAAGTATTTCTGTGATCTCAGGGGATAGCAGAAACCCCCTCCTCCAAATCCTGCCTGTGCCCCCACCCATCACAGACGGGTGGCAGAAGGAAGACCCTTGGGCAGGAGAACGGGGCAGGGAAGGACGAGCAGCAATGGGATTAGCTAGTGTGTGGGGAGGTGAGCTGGGGAAGCATCTTACTTCATTCTGTCAAAAATGTCTAAATATATGCTGGAGAAAATTAACTTTGCAATTAAAAACTTAAAAAAAAAATCCTACCATCCTTCACACTCCAGCTCTAGCTGCATTTTTGCACAAATCCTCCCCTGACCAGTGCGGATTCTCGGGGTTGCAGGCACAGGAAGGACGTGGAAGTCTCCAGGGCAGCCTGTGGCTCACTCGCCCGCCCCAGGCCCGACTCCTTCCAGGCCTGCATTCCCAACTTGAAGGGAAGCCCACACCAGGGTCGTGGGGTCACCAGGGCTGCATTGTAGTCTTGAGTGGTGTCTGCATAGTGCTGGGGGCGAGGGGTCACCAGAACATCTCTGAGGAGGCAGCAGTCCTGTAGGACTCTGTCTGGCCACTGGGGTCCTGTCCAGGAGTCCTTGGGCATGTGCTCTAGTTCCTCCCCGCCATGGGGATGATGTCCTCCCTGTCCACCCCATCTCTGGGGGTCACAGACTTTTGTCCAGATCTGAGTCTTCACCTGGGGGCAAGGCGCGTGCAAGCTCTAGCTCCAGCCAGTACCAGAGCCGAGTGTGTATGGGTGTGAGCCGGTGCTCACTGAAGCAGTGACCTGAAAAGCGAGCCCAGCAGTGCAGCTGGGAGGTAGCATCTCCAGACAGAGGTGGCTGGGCTCTGTGGAGGCAAGGGCAGGTGGCAGGGCCCCCTGAAGCCCTGGAGACTTATGAAGCATTCGGACCCTGGGTGCATCTTCACGTGTCCTGCGAAGACAGACACACAGACAACATCCCCAGGAGAAACTGTCGTGGGAGTTTGAGGGAAGGACAGGGGAGGCCATGACAGGGAGCCGCTGCAGGAACAGCAGAGCCACGGTGACTTGGGCACCAAATGGTACCACCTTTACGTAAGCTGCCCTGAGAGTTTGGGGCCATTGGATAGAGGGTCTCAGGGCTGGAGGTGAATCTTATTTCAACCAGTGTGTTCACCCCTTAGCATGGGTCTTAAGCTTGTGATAGGAACATGTCACTCTGCTGCTTAAAAACCTGTGAGTGGCTTCCATCCTTGTTCTGGATCGTCATTTCAAGGCTGACGAGCAGCCGTGGAAGACCGAGGAAGTGTCTCCCTCTGGACTCGAGAGCAGGTACCATGTTCGCTGATCAGAATAATAAAGTCTGTGTCTCTGGGCTAAAAGTAGGGCAGGAGAGCTCACAGCCTCTCGTAGAAGGTTGGAGATGCCTAAACCCATGGTTGCTTGGCTGTGACTCAGACTGGTGATGGGAGCAGCACCTACCTAAGGTGGCCCGTGTCCCCTGGGGATATTCGTGCTGCCTGACTAACAAAGTCTTTTGTCTCTGACCCAGGGTTGTCTCCAGTCTTCTGCCAGCATCAGCAGCCACGGTAACTTGCAGGTAAGATCAGATCTCAGGCCTTTCCCAGTTCTGGACACACTCTCTGTGCCTCAGTGTTTTGATCTCTAAGATGGGAATCATGAGAGTCCAAGGGCAGCCTTGGTAAATATCTTATGGGGGGGCTGGGGATGTGGCTCAAGCGGTAGCGTGCTCGCCTGGCGTGCATGCCGCCCGGGTTCGACCCTCAGTATCACATACAGACAAAGATGTTGTGTCTGCCAAATACTAAAAGATAAATATTAAAAATATATATATATATATATATATATTTTATGGTGTTAGCTTCTGGGATTGCGAGATGCTTGGTAATCAGAACACCCTCCTCTTCCAGCCCATCTCCAGTCCCTCTGCCTGCAGCAATGCCACCTGTGTCCATGCCCCCAGGCCACCAGACTGCTCCCCCCTGCCTTTGCTCCTGTGACCCCCCAGCCTGGAATGTCACACCTCCTGGATTCTTCTGCAGCCCCAGTTGGAGCCTCCCAGTTTCCTCTAGATGAATTCTGGCTGGACTGGCTCCCCGCAGGCAGTGCTGCTGCTGGGGACGCGGGGAGTGAGGACACTGAGGTCCGGGAGCCTGTTTCTCTGGGGCTTTTTGTTGGACCTTCCTCAATCCTAACCTGGAACTCTTCAAAGCCTGGTCGGAATTCTCAGGGAACCCTCCATAAAGCTGGGATCATTCCCACACTTCCCTTCTTAACTCCTGTCTCCTGAGTTTTAGGTTTTGTATTTTCATTCCGATCTTAGGGCGAGAGAATTCTTTTGTAAATAACAAATATAGTCATTCATTTAAAAAATAAAAAAGTTTTCCATCGTCCTTGTGACGCATATGCCCGGCAGTGGGGTGGGACCAGAAATCTCAGAGTTCATATTCTAGTGGGAGGCGGACAGTAAACAAATGAATAATTAAATAAGCAAGTCAATTTACAATAGTGGTGAGAACTACAAAGAGAAATTTTAAAGTGATGTGATAGTTATAGGACACCTGGGACTTGGGGAGCTGGGAGATGGACGTCATTCATAGTTTTCACAGAAGGCCTGCATTTGCGCCGAGACCTGAATGACCTAAGAAACCAGCCATGAAGAAATCTGGGGAAAGATGGAGTGTTCTAGGCAGAGGGAGCAACTAGTGCAAAGGCCCTGGGGCAGAAATGAGCTTGGTGTGTTCCTAGGACAGAAGGAAGGCCAGTGGGGCTGGGCAGAGTGAGCACCACCTGAGGGCAGAGGCTGGGGAAGGAGGTAGAGCCAGGGCTTTCCCACCTGGGGGCGGGGAATGGGTTTGATTCCAAGTCCAGCTGGAGGGACTCAAGTGTGGAAGTGATTATCACGAGGTCTGTGTTTTTTTAAGAATTCCTTTGATCCTTGTGTGGAGACTGGGTTACAAAGGGATGGGAGGTGAACAGGGAGATTGGTTGGGAGCCCTGGGGCCCTTGAAGCCCGGATGCTGAAGATCAGGATGGACTGTAGATTTATTCCAGAAGCAGGCACGGCGTGGGTCCCCAGTGCTAAGTGTCATCAAGTTTTCAGTGTTGTCCTGGGGGGCATGCCCTCGAGGGGATTGTGGGGCGCTGGTCTCTCTCTGCTCTGTTCTGTGTTGTGACCATTTGGTCCTACCCATACTCCTCCCAGGATTTGCCACCATCCACTGCCTTCTCCAGAAGCCGAACCAATGTCCCTTCCCACAATGTGATCTTGGAAACCTCCCAAACTATTAGCTAAGTACACCTTTTTTTTTTTCTTTATAAGCTGAGAGCCTCAGGCATTTCCTTATAGCAATGGTGTTATGTGAAGGATGAAAGGGGAAGAGGCAGAAGGAGGCAGCAAGAGCCTCAGACCTCAATGCAAATCTGGCAAAGTCTTGGCCAACCCAGTAGTGAGCTGCTGGAACAAGTCAGTCATTGGCTGTGAACTGCCCCAGAAGGGCTTGGCGTTAGCTCAAAATGTGGGGTGCATCATGAAGTTGGAGGTATCTGCTCATCACACCACAGGCAACTGAGCAGCAAGTTTGTTCTTGAAGGGAGTACGGAGAGCGCCCCCTGCAGGGCCACCCCTGCACTCTCAAGACCCGCTTCTCCATGGGGAAGAAGGGATCATTTCCTCATGGTCCGTCGGCCTCCTGCTCTTGAGGGGACTTGGAAGTGGGGTGAAGGGAGCTCCCACAGCTGCCCCTGGCCTCTGGCATGAGCAGTGCTCCCTGCCTGCGGCCTCCCCCAGCCGCCATCTGGTCTTGCCCTCTGCCATGGCCTCCACTGACCAACATTCCCTGGGTCCAATCACATCCGTGGGAAGGCATCTGCTTAGTAAGTGCTCACTAAACTGAGATTAGTCGTAACAAGGTGGGGTGTGGGGAAAGCAGGACTGGGCAGGGGAATATCACCAGGGGACTTCTAAAAGATGGAGGTTGGGTAACACCTCCGCGGTCACCAGCTTCCGGTTAGGTAACTGGTCACCTCTGCCACAAGCAAGGGTAGAGCTAGAATTTGAACATGGCGCTCAAGGTGACCAACTTGGGCCAGTTTCATCATTGAGAGTCCTGCATCCTCAGAAACCTCAATCCCTGAAAAACTGTGACAAACTGTGACAGTGGGCCACCATGGCAGTCTCAGAATGCCCCGCCCTTCAGCTGCATCCCTCGGTGCTGGTGCACCATGGGTCGGTACTGCCCCCCTAGAATGTGGGGAACAGGGGTTGGGGACACATAGAGCCACCATCCTGGACATTTCCAAGCCCAAGGTCTGGGTCTGGTCTCCTCGGGATCTGGTCTCGGGCCCTGAGCTGCCTTGGTCTCCTCATCTGTGGGGTAGATTTAAAGAAGGCCAGGTGAGAGGCGGTGTGCGGACTCTCCCAGGGGCACAACACTACCCCTGGCACTTAGTAGGCGTCCAGTACGTGCTGCCCCTCCTTATTTACTCCCAGTTCTTGTAAATATTAATTCCCCTTTTTACTTCTTTGCTTGGATCTCCAGCGCCTACAACGCCTTCTCCCACAAGCCTCTTCTTGGGTCCCCTCCGGTCCCCTTCCTAAGCAGAGTCAGGGGACCGTTCAGACTGAGGCCCCTTCACCCCGGTTGGGGCCTCCCGAGAGAGGCTCAGAGCCGTCGCCCTCCTCGCCTGAGCTGGAACAAGGAGCCCACACCAGGGGGAGGTCGGAGCCAGGCCAGAGAGCTTCCCTCTCGGGGAAGCCCAGAGTGCCATCCAGAGTCCTGCCTCCCTGGAAGCCAACCCGGCTCCCAGGCTTGGGCAGGAAGGAGGACATCTGCTCCCACACAGGCGCAGGAGGGACTGGAACTGGAGGAAACATGTGTCCTCCCCGTGGGGGGCCTGGGAGTTGGCTGGGAAGCGCCTGCCCGAGTCCAGGCCCAGAGAAGAAAGGCCAGAAAGAGTGGCCAGCTAGTATGGCCGCCTCCTCTTTCTGTGCTGCATGGGGGCTGCCTGTCCCAGGGCATGTGACAGCCCTGGTGGCTGGTCCTGTCCTGTGCTGGGTCTCCCCTGTGGAGCGTGGCAGCTCCATACTGCAGTGGTCTCAGTCTCACAGATAAAAAAATGGAAATTCAGAGAGGCCCGGCCTCAGCCCAGGGTCCCACGGCCAGGGAGGACACACTGGCCTTTGAAGGCAGGACTTATCAGACTTCACAGGCCTCAGAGAGGTGACCAGGCCCCACCCAGAAAGGAGGCACCAGGGTGTCCTGGGAAGGGTCCCTCCTGCCTGTCCGTCCCTGGTCCCCACTGGCCACTGCAGCCCTTCCTGTTCCCGCCCAGTGGTCTTCACCTCACATTTCCCCAACGAGTCCACAGACTGCCCAAGTCGTGCCACCTTGTCTCCTCATTCGAGGGCCACTGGCACCTGGGAGCGTCCAGGGTGTATCCGCTTCATGCACAATGGAATCCTGGGGCTGATGGCCACATCTCCACAAAATGGCAGTTTTCCGATGTCCCCAGGATTCTTAAGACACTGCATTTAGAGTTTTTGGGTTCTGGGAAATGCCCTTTTCTAGTCTGTAAAATGGGTGTGCACAACACTGAGCTACCGATGGCAAGAGCCGGCTGGGACCTTGCCTGGGTGGCTATTCATGTGTCCCTGGCAGCAACTCCTCCAATGCCATCTGTTTCCTGATCTAGCTCAGAGTACCCAGGGTGAGTCCTAGGAGTGGGGAGCAGGCTGGGGAGACCCTCAGGCTGGGCGAGGGGACAATGCACGTGGGGGGATGACCCACGGGCTGGACCCTCCTTGCTCCCACGCCCTGAGCTGGCCAGCCCTCAGGGGCACCTCGGGATGGGCCCAGGCTTGGGTCTCTCTCGTCTCTTGTCTGCCTGCCGCCAGCAACGGTGGCAGTAACTAGCGGGTTGTACCCACACACAATTTATTTTTCAGATATAGAAAGTGAGAAGTGGGGGGGCCGAGGGTGTGCAGCGAGGGGGAGGCTCGTGAGAATGGGGAGCCCTTCTGCTGAGGAGGCGCTGGCTTCCCAGGCACCGCTGGACATGTGACAGCGCACTTAAACCTCAGGAGAGTGCCATGGTCACCATGCCCAGGTGGCTTGCAGTGATGCTGAAACCGAGAGGTGAAGCCAATTGCTTGAGGTCACTCAGTGACGAAGTCCAGATGCTGGGATTCAAGATCTTTAAGCCCATGGCCTCTGGGACCCACCGTATCTCCAGATGGAGGCCTGTGATCCCAGGGACTCTGGGGGCTGGGGCAGGAGACTGGCAAACTCTAGGCTGGCCTGGGCAACTTAGACCCTGCCTCAAAATTAAAAATAGAAAGGGGCTGGCGATGTAGCTCAGTGGTAGAGCACCCCTGGGTTTAGGCACCCCATTATGCCCCTTGGCATCCCCAAGAATCTAGCCAAGGTAGGAAAATGGTAAGAAGAGGCCAGACCAGAGTGCCAGGTACACACCACCCCGGAGGGCCCTGAATCTCTCACCCACTGCAGAGGGGGGGCTGGAGTCCTCTGGGGGAGCAGGTGCCTTGCACATAGCAGGACAGCTGCTCCCTGGGATGCTGGTCGCAGGAGGGACTAAGCAAACTGAGCCAACAAATGAAGTCACTGCTTCTGTGTCCCAACGTATAAACCCCTCTCCCTGTGACCACTGGGGCAGAACCCAGGATGTCAGAACCCGGGGTGACTGAAGGGACGAAGCACTGAGGGGGACAGCGGTCATGACCTGGTGAGGCACCTTGTGCACGGAGGCGCTCCTGTCCAGCCCGGCGCCCCTGGGCCTTCCCCGGGAGCATTTTCAGTAGCCCCCGTCTTGAACACTGCCTTCCGGTGTCTTCTTTGGCCTCTCAGCCATCTTTCCTGCTGCCTGGGCACAGCTGGGCCGCGGGCCAGACAAGTGGGGACATGGGGACCATTGTTCTCAGCTTTGGACTGGAGGGGACCCGCAGGGCTGGACAGGGAGGGATAGATCTAGTGGCGTTTCCATTCAGGGGTCAGTTAGTCACCACCGCTGGTGGCTGGCTGGAAAGGAATGACTCAGGGACAAGGCACAGGCTCCCACGAGCTGGAGGGGGAGCCAGGCAGCCGGCGGTGGTGCTTCAGACGGGGAGCTGTGAGGTGTCCTGTTGAGGTAGGGCAGAGTGCTCCAAGGGGTGGACCTTGAAGTTGGAGCCTGTGGGTTTCTGTCCCAGCTGCAGGCCGGGCTAACAATGTCACCCGGAGTGAGTGACTCAGCCTCCCGCTCAGTTTCCCTGACTGCACCATGGCAGGATCAAGAGAAGTGGAGCTCGAACAGGCAGCTCGGGGCCCGGCTCATGGACCAGCCTGCAAAGCTCCCTGCTGTCCCCTGGTACCGATGGCAAAGCCAAGCACGGAGC